AAAAAATACCTTAAAGTTATTTATTGTGAGTAACGTAATTAACTTTATATAATTTCCTTATACATACATATATTTTTAATTACGATTGTAGTAAATAATAATTTCACTGACTTTGTATATTGATAGACTTTGCTAATGTTAAATGAAAACTAACAACCTAATACTTTAAAATTTACACACCGAATATCGGTAAGAGATGTTGATACTAATAACACTAACACCAAGAATATATCTCTGCCCATGCAATCAATCTCACACATGTTTTAGTAAATACAATATTTTATCTTATCTTATACATACATACATACAAATAAATAAAATTGAAGTGTCTGTTTGTAATTCTAAAATAACGGCTTTTTACTAAATGCATATGAAAGTATATACGGTACATATAACAAAAACACAATTTTTAAAATGTATGTCTGTCTGTCGGTCTGTCTGTCTGTCTGCTTGTTCCGGCTAATCTCCGAAATGGCTGGACCGATTTTGAACAGACTTTCACTAGCAGATAGCTGATGATGTAAGGAGTAACTTCGGCTACTTTAATTTTGAAAAAATAATTATGGTTCCGCGCAAAAAAAAAATTAAAACCCTAATTTATTTTAATAAATATATTTTAATAGAATTTATGTATTTTAATAAAATTTGGTAAAGTTATCAAGCCCAACAATATCTTGTAATATGTAACAGCAATAAGAAGAATATACCTAATTCTTTTCAAGGTGAGATTTGAAATAGAACTTCGTTAGTTTTGAGGCTTTGAAACCCACCTACAATATGGAATGCTGTCATCATTGTATGTTCATTTAAGTATCCTGTAAGTACTTCCTGCGCGAAATAATTCACCAGCACATTGTTAAGGGTATGGGAAGTTTTTATAAGGTTATTAGTATTATTGATGGGTATAAAATAATAGTCACTAAATTAGTTTATTTTAAAACATGAATCATTTTTAACTACAACTATGTTTATAAACAAACTTTTGTTGTTATTCTAAATGTTAATATGTAAACAATGATAATGTTATCATTGCCGGATTCGATACCACTTTTTGAAATATTTTTGTTCATCATTATCTTCCTTTTTCTTATTAGGTATTCGACGCCTAACAGTTCATGAGGTGGTTCATTGCATTTGACAACATTTCACATAATAGGAACGACGTGTGGTAAAGATTGAAAGCAATCGATAACCGTATTTCACCCCGTCGAAGTAATAAGGTGTGACTTAGGGAAATGCGAAAATTGTTGAGATTTGAGAATTGCATTTTCAAAGATAATTCTTCAATTATAAAAGAAGACAATCGTTTTTGGACCAACCATTACGTCAATGCACGCGGGTAAATCATTTCGGGAGCGCTTTTTCTTCTGACTTGCTTAACAAAAATCAATATTTAAGGCTAGCTGCGAGGTGTAGCCTAAGGACAGATAGCCTATACTATTCCTCGTGAATCTGGCTATAATATATATATTTTTTTAATCGGACTGGTAGTTTAAACAAACAAAAAAAAAACAAAAAACCTCTTCCGCTTTATTTCCCTCGTATTACTCTAGTATAGATATCCAACATATGCTAGGAGAATGTGTCAAATATTAAATATTAATTTGAGTGAAATAGGTTGGTTTTTAAATATACTTGCGGAGCCATACTCAGCGGAGAAAAAGTCATTAATTTCTATATTCTTATCCCCTTTTATCAATACTCATGATTATATCTGTAACAGGAGCAAGGAATGGTACGATAAGGCTGACTTACCCTTGCAGGATAAAAGCCTTTTGAAATAAAGAAAGATAATAAAAAAACGCATTCCATTTAACTCAGACAGCAATGCATCTAAGTTGACATTGTGTAAATTTATTTAATATAAAAGCTTAATTGAATATTTTTGAACTTCTATTATTTCCAAACATAAGTTGTTCATAATATAATTATATAATTAGATTATAATGGATGTTATTAAAAAGCCGCAGCTGCAAATTATGATTATAATTATATTGTAAAAGTAAAATTATCTTTCATTTGCATTGATTACATAATGTGTGAATAACGACTATATTATATCAATTGAATTAGAAAAGTATTCGGACTCCTAAGAAGACACTGCTACAATACAGGTTGTTCAGAAGTTCGATGATGCAAAGCCTTGAGGCGAGGATAGATCACCTTGTGGGGCACATTTATGAGCAGGTTACCCTAACCTAATGTTTTAGAATTTCTAGTAATCGTGAAAATTATGATTTTTGGGTATTTAATCGTTCATAACGATGAAACTGGCTACAATCAGTATATAAAACCTTATTTTATATATTCAATCGACAAACATACATGCCATCAACTGTATACACATCATTGACTAAATTAGACATGCTGAAGAGTTGGAAATTTTTAGGAAAGTTGAAGTACTACTATTTTATAACGCGTTTGAAATAAACGAAAATAGACTATATTCAAACATTTTCATAAACACCTAGAACTCATGTCCTTTGTACTGGTGAATCGTACATGCACATACGATTTTCCTCAGAACTAGAGCGAAAATCCTACATTTAACAATTGTCTCTTTTTAACAAAGAATTTATGTAGCGCATTCATAGGGCGTGGGGTGATTTCTAATAAAAACATAAAATTTTTCTTTAGTCTTGTTACGATTACTGTATTGAGTGCGCTTTGACGTATTTATTTCCAGTTCCGAGCTTTTGTTGTGTGTTGACAGTGTTAAGTGAAGCTCCGCCATCTATCCTGACGTTGAATTCTTTTATGTGTGACTACATGTGTTTTTGGTCTTTTTTAGAAATGTTTATAAAAGTGAGTTCTTTTACCAATGAAAAGGATGCTGATATCGTTTCCATGTACGGCAAAGCCGATGGAAATATGGTACTGAATAATGGTACGACGATTGTATCAAGAACGTTATCCTGATAGTCCAGTGCCGAACTTCAGAGTATTAAACAATAAGTTTCGTTGCCGTGGTGAAATTGGAAGGGTTTAACGCTCGAAACCTGTAACTAATACCGGTCGACCTGTTCACAAAGAGGTATTTTACAAACATTTGAAAATGATCATACAACAAGTGCCAGAGCAGTATCACGAAATCTTGGCATATCTAAATGGGAAGTTTGGTCAACTATGCCTCGTGTGGGGGAAATATCCATTTCATGGTACAGGAGTACCAGGCTTGTAAGATGGAGATCCTGTCCGGAGAGTACAATTTTGTCGATTTTTATTAAACGAATCCCAAATCTTTTATGTCACAGAAGTTTCGAGATTTATGAAAAATGTTTTATGGACTAACGGATCACAATTTACTGGGGAAGGAAACTTTCATAATCTCCTTGAAAGGGTTAATAAAAAAGAAAATCCACATTGGAAGAAATATGTTTCTTTACAATTGAATTTTCTTGAAAATATTCAGTGAATATGTGATTGGCCGCCATTTAATTGGGCCTGATTTTTTCTCGGAAAGTCTAAATGGAGACAACTGCTTAGAGTTTATAGTAAATGATTTGCCCACCCAGGAAATGGTCTCTTTGTCAGTTTCCATTATTGGAGGAAGTGCCAATAATGGAAACTGACAAGGAAATATTTTTTTCAAAATGATGTCTGCCCAGCGCACTACCGAGTTACAGTCCTAACACATTGATTGGAAGAGGAGGGCCGGTGCCCTGGTTTGTTCGATCACCGGATTTGACCCCTATGGATTTCCATGTCTGGGGTCAAGAAATAACGACTCGGGAACATTTAATAGAAAAGATTAATGAAGCATTATTTGAAAAAATTACAACAATTCAAGTGCGAAATAAGGGCCAAAAATGTATCAGGATAAAAAAGTTCACACTTTGAACATGAATAATAAATGATTTGATAATAAAGATTATTTTTAATTACATTAAAAATAATACCACAGGAACTTTTTGTGATACCAGACTTCGGTTTTGCTTAGGTGCTCTAGTTCTGTGTAATAGGCAGGTATTTTCATGTAAGGTGCACCAATAGAAAGGGCATGAGTTATAGATGTTTTTAAAAATATTTGAATTTATAAGTCTACTATCGTTTTTTTAAATGGGGTAATAAAAGAGCTTTCCTAAAATTTCTAACTCATAAGCATGTCCAATTTAGTCAATGATGTGAATACCGTTGATGGTATTGGTGTTTGTCGATTGAATACACATTAAGTTAATATAAAAACAAGGTTTTATGTACTGATAGCTCGTTTAATTGTTATGAACGATTAAATACCAAATTTTTGGATATTTATCAAAAAATCATGATTTTCACGAAAGCTTAAAATTCTAAGATACTAGATTAGGTTACCCTGTTCAAAAATGTGCCCCACAAGGTGATCTTTCCCCCTGAAGACTTTGCTTCGGCCTTTCGAACCGCCTGTATGAGCCAGTGGGAACAAAAAATACATAATATTATTATTACTACGTAGTAAGATTAATAACCTACTTGTAGCAGAAGATTAAAAAGAATGTTAATAAAATATGAATTACACAATACCTAGACGATGACGGTTAACTAATAATGTGTTAATGTATGGTTAGCCTCAAATACAATCAAAATATAATAAATGAAAAACTTAGAAACTAGTATCTTATTATAACTGGGTCAGAGGTCCGTAGATCAAGGGGACGTGTTAAACTAATTACAGCTTAAGTACAAGATTTTTTATATGTAGTGGAGTATAGTATGCTGCAACTATAATATTCTACGTATGGCCGGAGAAGGATCACGCTCTCACAGAATAGTAGCGTATAATAGCAGCTTAATGCTGCTGTGTTTTGTATGGTGAGTGTTGAGATCCGGAGACCCTGTTTACTAGAAATGAAGCATTCCATCTTAATTCTCAAGGATTACAATGCATCTGCATTTGATTCTTAATCGAGGATGGATGTAAATATCTAAAGGCCACAGCATCCGCTTACCATCAGGTGGACTGTGTGCTTGTTTGTCACCCTTATTCTATAAAAAGTAAAATAAAATAATAATTAGGAACTTACAGCATGTACAAATAATCTTCGTTACTTTTACTTGATTGCCTCTGCAATCCGCTAAACTGGGAACCTGCAAGAATTATTTTAGTTCAGTCCAACATGTGCCAGCAGGTACATGTATCTTTAAGTGATGCATTTCGAACACTTGATTTAATTTATATTGGTTTATTTACTATAACTCTAAGTGAAGCCATTTCATTTATAAATAGAATAAGCATCTTCAAAGGTTTGTAAATTGAAATCGTTAGAATCGATAACCGCGTGGTTCTTAAGTTCTAATCATTTTGTGTCATTTTATGTGAAGTGTTGCATTATTTTAATACATATATAATGATAAACGTGTAGAGTCTCTACAATTTCTGATAGGAACCAGAAAATGTCACCATGTTCTAAATACTGTTGTTGAACATCTTCAGTCGAAAACGTTACAGATTTAAACTAACCTATTTAAAAAAAATTGAAATCAATAACGCATTTATATTAATTGGCCTACAATAGGCAGTGAAATATTTAATTCATATTGGTGGATATAGATCGTTTATACAGATTTTGATTAACCTGTTTGGTTAGTTGCGTGCTGCGGTCTTAGAGTAAGAACATGTTTTGTATGCAGCTTATTACATATTTATTAATCTGTGGTATGCAGCCGCAGTGCACGTTTCTCAAATTGATATGTGACGTGACCGTTTACCACAATTGTGTGTATAACACATTAGTTCTTAAACTTGTTGAATATTATCATATAATATAATGGTTACGTAAAACTATTTATGTTACAATATATTGGCGGAATTGGGTCAAATAAGTATTTTATCTTCACAAATCGTAAACGTTATAATGTGTAATAGTTATTACGTGTTTATTGGTGTTGTTTATAATTATTTGTACTCTAGATGGCCTAAAATGAAAATTATTATTTTCACGTTTCTTTTTCATATTGTCTTTATCACGTCCGTAATTCTTCACAAATAAATTTATACGAATTTTTTTCAACTTGAAACAAGCTTGATTACATATTTGAGTATAAATAAAAGTATGTATTAACAAAAATAAATATTGGAAAAACTTACCTGATTGGCAACTCTGTGAATTAGAACTGGTACTACTCTCACTTTCGGAGCGATTTCTTGGAGTGAATAATAAATTCCATGGATTGTACGAAGTGCTCTGTGTTCTATTTTGGTTCTTAGAAGTGGATTTGTTACTTGAATCCATTATTTTAAGAGTTTACAATAAATCAACTGTTGTAGAAACTTAAATTTTACTTAAATTATAAGAGAGAGCTAAATGGTAACGTATTTAGAAGTAGACTGTCTCTGGCACCGGCTGATAGTATAATAATATTATGATAGGCCAGATGCAAACAAACTACGGGCCGGCGCGGCGCGGAGTTGCGCGGCTGGGCAACACAACAACGAACGGCGTGGTTGTATTGTGCTCAAGAGAGCGCTGTTTTGATCCGACGTTACCCGAAGTCATACGGAAGTAGCCGAAAGCATGTGTATGCGGACTTTGCCCATTGCCAGTCAGTATAGTAGAGTCGTTTCCATAATGCCGAACTAACCGATGACGTAAGTAAACAATTACCATAATATTATTATGCTCAATGTATTACAGGGCTGGCAGAATTTTTTAGTATATACTAGCTGGTACCCGGTGGCGCTTTGCTGCCGCAGAAGAAACAATTGTGGTAATATCGTTTTAAATTTGGAAGACCTATATTATTGTTTAATTACGAATGATAATACATTCATTGAAATTTAATAATATATAATTTTCAAATAATCGGTACTACACGCGCGCCACCTACACGTAAGTTGATTGTACTATGCCTACAACCTTCGCACAAGTGCATGCAATGAAATGACAAAGTTTTAGCGTAATCTGATGAACGGTATGGCAGCGCATAAAATACGAACTAACAAATATTGTTTTTATATATTAGAATATGTAGGAATACTGTGTATTCAAAACTGTAAGAGATCTAGGTACATCTTATATAAGGCAAAAACTTATCAATGTACATATGCTTCGGGTTGCTTTATGGATGCCATACACGATCCAGTTTACCTTCAAGTTTGCAGCACGCTTGAAGCGGCGTCAAGTTTGCAGTGTATCCATATAGACCACTCACGTTCAAGTTCGCCGTCAAGTTTGCATGATGCCACATCAGTTGAAACCATGGCGTCTCTCGCTTATTTGATCGGACTGCCGGCATGCATACTTGGCCGCTCATACACACTTTCAAGTTTGCATGACGCTGCAAGGTTGATCAAGTCGGCAGAATAGAAATAAAATGTTTGCTTCAAGTAGACTTGTCATGCACACTGATAGCTATACACCGGCAAGTCTACCAGACGCCGTTTAAAGCGCGCTGCAAACTTGACGGTAAACTGGATCGTGTATGGCATCCATAAAAGTCTAAAGTTGTAAGCCAATTTTTTATATAAAGTTTAATCGAATGGGTCGGCTCGACCGGGAAATGACAACGCTCTCACAGAATACTAGCGTAAAATAGCAGCTTAATACTGCTGTGTTTCGTATGGTGAGTGTAGAGAACCGGAGACCTTTTTACTGGAAAAGAGGCATTCTATCTTTGTCCTCACGGCTGACAACGTATCTGCATTTTAATTCCCAAATAAAGATAGATGTAGATGGGCCGCAGCAACCACTTACTATCAGGTGGACTGTGTGGTCGTTTGTCATCATTATCCTATAAAAAAAATTACAAATAAAACTTACAGCACTGGACACCTGCAACCAACTTTAAATAAAGAAAACTACAGATGCGTTAACACCGATGAGGACTAAGATTGAATGTCTCAAAGCCTTTCATACCGAGAATGCAATCTCTAGACGGTAGTACTCTTTTTGTTTAAAAATTAGTCTGTGTAGGTAAGGCACAAGGCCTCTTACCTTCTAAATAGTAGTGCAGTGCACTGTTGTGTTCATGTTTGAAGGATACAGAGAGCCAGTACAATTACAGGCTGTGATGCATTGCATCTTAATACTCAGAGGTGACTACCTTTTTATTATAGGGTAAGGGTGACAAACGAGCACACAGTCCACCTGACGCTAAGCGGTTGCTGTGGCCCATAGACATCTAAATCTATCCTCGATTAAGAATCAAAATGCAGATGCGTTGTCACCCGTGAGGACTAAGATGGAATGCCTAGTTTCCAGTAAAAAGGGTCTCCGGTTCTCTACACTTACCATACGAAATAGCAACGTTAAGCTGCTATTTTACGCTGGTATTCTGTGAGAGCGTGGTCCTTCCCCGGTCGAGCCGACCCATTCGTGCTACAACCATAATATAGCTGCAGCATGGCTCTACCACGTAAAGAAAAGTTCAAAGTAACCTAAGTACATCTGTACTCTTTTCTTCTAAGTGTTAAGTGTCGGTCGTTTGTCACTTCAGTTTTATAAAAAAAATGTCAATAAACTTAGCTGAGGAGATTCACCGACAGGACCAAAGACAAAAAGAAGAAGTTTACATTTGACTGTAAATAGAGAATATATCGAAATAAGCTTAAGAATCAGAATATAGGCAAAAAGACTCGGAAAATTGTCTGAAAGTATTAAATAATTCCATTGTAATCCTTTTATTTATTTATTGATTTTTGAACAATAAACGCGTTATTAATACGACTATTTAAGTAAAAGTTTTGTAAACAATTTCATTCAATTGTTTTTAACATACATATAAAGATATAAAGATTATATAAAGAACTTAATATGTTTGGGCTGCCGCTTTTAATTCAGTTACAACTAGGGTTACCATATCTCAGGAGTTGTCCTGAGATTTTAGGATTTTTAGACTCTTCTCAGGATTGCGGCTGGATTATGCAAATCTCATGAAATCTCAGGATTATTAGAACTTTCAATATAGTACAGCTTACATTTTAAAGATCTCTTTAATAAAAAGTTAAACAAACTAAAAATAATTTTCCTTTGGTAATAATTCCTCAATTAAAATGAAAACTTATTGATCCAAGTAGGTACTTAAACAGTTTTATCACACTTAATATGTGAAGATATCTTTTTAAGTAAGGTTTTCTTCTCAAATTGTAAAAAAATCTCAGGGTTTTTAAATGGAAATTAGGCCTCTTCTCCGGACTTTTAATTTTTTCATCTGGTAACCCTAGCCGCAACGCAAAAAGATTAGTCTCATATTTATTATACATTACAGAAAAAAGATATAATAAAAGTTTTTTTTTTCTCTACACATTAAAGTAGCGTTCCCTATAAAAAAGTGTCCGCACTTGCGACATTTTTATAGTGAACCCTATACCTATTTTATATTGTTGTCTTCTGTTTAAGGTACACACCTACACACGAGTAAGTTACGTAACACAATATTCGTCGGACAAGGAAGCAGATTGTAAACTTATTGCGTATCTATATATTATGTAATGATAACAACAAATAATATAATAATAAAACAATATACAAATCAAATAATAGTAATACGACTTACTGAAAGAATACTCAAAAATTTTTTTCCTACAAATGAGATGCTCAACACGACTCTATATACACTACCTAATAAAACTGAGAAAAATCTGTGGAATTCGGATAAAATACAACTAATTAGTAAATGTATGTATACTTTAGTGGTTCAAAAGATTTATTGAGTAATTTTAGTCAACATTAATTTTGCGTCTTACTCTTACCGATTTAGTTAAAGAAAAAGATAAAGTGTCACATAACTGTCGTCGTCGTTGAATAATGTTCAGCATGATAAAATGAACATAAAAAAATATTCTTTGAATCAATTAATCATCATCATCATTACAGCCTTTTACAAGTTCACTGCTGAATATAGGCCTCTCCCAATGAATGCCATAAAGCACGGTCCTGAGTCACCTGCATCCATCGACTTCCTACACGTCTTAACAGGTCGCCACTCCATCTAGTACGGGAATACCCTACACTTCGCTCGCCGGCACGAGGCTGCCACTCGAGAACCTTTTTCTCCATCGGTTGTCGGTTCACTACTACATCGGCTTACTAATCCGTTCGCCTATGTCGATCACTCTGGTTCTACTGCGGATATTCTCATTTCTAAGTTTATCACGCAGAGAAACTCCGAACATAGCCCTCTCCATAGCTCGCTGAGCGACCATGAGCTTCCTCATCCAGCCAACAGTGAAGGACCACGTCTCAGTTCCATAGGTCATCACTGGCAACACGCACTGACTGTAGCCTCATTTTCAAGTTTTGAGGTATACCTGACGAGAAGATGTGCCGTAATTTCCCGAACGCTGCCCGATCGAGTTGAATCCGTCGATTGACCTCTCGGTCGAAGTTGGACTTACCTAGTCGGACTATTTGTCCCAGGTGAACATACTCGTCAACAACTTCGAGCTTAGTGCTTACCGGCATATGTGTGACATAGACTTTATACATGATCTTTGTATTGTTGTCCATGTTCATCTTAAGATCTATCCGGTGGGATGCACCATTGAGGTCGTTGATCATAGTGCTTAGGTCCTTCAGCGATTTTGCCATAAGGACTATATCGTCGGCAAATCGAAGGTGTGTGATGTACTCGCCGTTGATGTTAATACCGCATCCTTTCCAGTCCAGAAGCTAGAAAACTTCTTCCAATGCAGCGGTGAAGAGTTTCGGGGATATAACGTCACCCTATCTTACATCTCTCTGCAGTTGGATAGGTTTCGTACTCTGGTTATGTACTTTGATAGCCATCGTAGCCCTAATGTACAAGCACTTCAACACTTCGATATACTTCGGTATGTATGTGGTCTATGGTGCTAAAGCTTTTTCGGAATGTGGCTTGTTCGAGAGGTCGGAAGTCGTCGAGTCTGCGATGCGAGACGATTCGTAATGACTTTTGAAAACAGCATGTAGACGCGGCTCAGAAGGGAAATCGGTCTGTAGTTTTTCAAGAGAGCGTTGTCCCTTTTCTTGAAGAACAAGACCACTGCACTTCTGCTCCACGCCTCCGGTGTAGTGCCACCAAGGAGGACGGAATTAAAGAGCTTCTGAAGGACTTCAAGTACCGAGTTTCCACCAGTTTTCAGAAGCTCCGCTGTAATTCCATCCTCGAGTGGGGCCTTGCCGTATTTTTGGTGCTGAAGAGCCATTCTAATCTCGCTCAGACTGACGTTCAGAATATTATCGGAAAGACTTGCTCTTGGATCGTTACCTACAATTGCGTGTGGCTCTAACGATGATGTGTACAGCTGCCCATA